CATCGGGGGGGGAGCCCACAATGCCCCCCTTGATGCAGTTACCCTCCCTTAGGGGGCAGATGGCATAATATGATAAAATTCTGATAAAGCAAGGAATGCCCAGGGAGGTGGTGGAGTCAGTGCCTGGAGGTGTTTAAGGAAAGAGTGGACATGGACTGGACTAGCTGATATGGGTGTGTTTGGTCACAGGTTGGACTCGATGATCTTGGAGGTCTTTTCCAACCTAATTCATTCTGTGATTCCGTAATGGCAATGGCAGCTGATTCAGCCCCCAAAACCGCAGTGCCACCATTACAGGCAGTGTCTGACATCAGCCAGTGTCACTGGGGCACCACCCAACAGGCACCCTAAGACCCCCCTGCCCCAACTCTGCCAGGGATGCCTGGCAAGGATACCCAGTTCACACCCCCAAAATCCAGCTCCTACGTCCAGAATAAGCAGCCTTCCAACCCCAGTAGCCCCTTTAAGGGAATGGGTTCAAACTCAGAGTAGGTTTAGGTTAGGAAAAGCAGAATCTTCCCTGTGAGGGTTGTGAGGCCCTGGCACAGGTTGCCCAGAACAGCTGTGGCTGCCCCGTTCCTGGAAACGTTCAAGGTCAGGTTGGCCAGGGCTGGAAACAACCTGGTCTAGTGGAAGGTGTCCCTGCCCATAGCAGGGGGGGTTGGAACAAGATGTTCTTTAAGGTCCCTTCCAGCCCAAACCCTTCTAGGACTCCATGATTCCATCCTCCCCAGGGCCGTGCCTTCCCTCACGCACACACCCACGTCACCGGCTCCCAGGCGGAAGGTGCCCGTTGCTCAGAGCCCCCGGGCAGAGCTGGGCACCAGAGAGGTGGACACAGCCCCAAAATCCAGCCCTCCACTCCCTCCCCAGCCCCTGAGGCCAAGGGAACCCCCAGCACTGGGGGTGCCCATGGCTGCTGAGGGCTGGTTGCTGGCTCTGTCCCCAGGAAGGCCATTATCCATGCTGAGCCCCACCTAGGTATTTTAGGCGGACTTGCCATGCTAGAAAAACAAGCCTGCCAGAGCCAAGCCTTGCCAGGGCAGCAGAGGGCAGGGGCTCCACACGGGGCACAGCTCTGGGGAGTGACAGGGCCCCCTGAGACAGCCTGGCTTGGAGGGACAGAGCCTGGTGGACACAACCGGTGGGATTGCTCCCACCCATATTCTGCGGGTCCAGGCTGATGGGAATGGGGCAGAAGATGGTCTGCTCCAGCCCTGCCAGCTGTAATTAAATGCTTAAAGGATTATCACACCTCACCATCCAACCAGGATGGAGAGACACGCAGCACTGTGCAGGGCTGCTGTGAAAGGTGGTCCCTCACTACTGACAGAGACCTTGCCAGGACTTGTCTTCATCCAGCTGGTGATTAAAAGACAAAAATCTCCTGTTTATGGATGTCATCACCGTTATCTTACCCTGGGTCAGAGCCTTTATATTCAGGGCTCATCAACTTGATTAGGTTATTCAGAGGAAGGAGAGGTGCTCAGCACCAGTGTAATTGCCAGCATCCTCCCCATCCAGCTCAGTCCTTCCTCCGAGGCAGCCCAAATTCCTTGAATCCTTTTTTACATGCAAAAGCAGCATGAACCCTTAAGGTGTAGGGGCAAGAGCCCACACCCCAGGGCTCCAGCTCCTTTTGGGGTGAGCCACACCATTGCTCATCCGCTGAAGCCCTGGGGTGGGGATGCTCCTGCTTCCTGCTGCCCCAGGAACAGCGGGGACTGCCGACCCTACTGCCCAGCTGGCACGTCCCATCCCCAAGGCTCCCCAGCCAATAGCCTCCTTCAGCAGCGGGGCGTGGAGTTTTCCAGGCACAGACTTGCCCCAAAAGCCTTTTTTTTCCTTTTAATGCTGCTGCAAAGCAAGAAAGGAGGCTTTTCTTCCACCTCAAACTGGGAAGAGACAGATTTTCATTGCAGAACACCCTGAGACAGGGCATGGAAAGTCAAAGATGAAGCGGAGATTTTGAAACAACCCTTTTTAAGATGGATTTGAGAGTAACTAAGATGAATTAAAAGCAATCAAGGAGCAGTAGAAGTCTGGGGAGGTTTTAGAAACACCCTCCCGTCGCCGTCTGCCTTTTTGTCCTCTCTGGCTGCCAGTGGAGCCTGCAGGCAGCAAAGCCATGGGACGGGTGCTGGGTGACCCTGGATGCCTGGCTGCTGAGCCCCAGCCAGCCCTGAAACCCAACTTTAGGCTTCCATGGCACATTTAGGAAGCTGATTGGTTTTCACAACCAACTCTTCAGCGCCCAGCTCGGCATCCTTAACTTTGGGAAGAGTTGTACTTCACTCCTACATAGCAAGGCCACGGGCTAAGGATG